TAAGCATCGACACTACAGAGCTCTATTGTCACGGTGAGGGAGCGCAGCCGCCTCGCGAAGAAAACCGCTGACAAGATTCAGTTTCTCTTTTGGTGCCAATTGAAGCCAAGACATAATGGGTGCTGAATGAAAATCATCATCTGGTTGATAAGCACAGACAGGGACAATACAAGGACATTGAGGAGCAGATCTTTGGCTACATGATTGCAAATGGCTCTCATTATGGAATATTAACAACATATCAATATGATCAATCTTGGTTTCTGCATTCAAATTACATTTGATTAAAATGCCAAATGAACGCAAACTTTTGTTCTCCGTAATATATTTACGAAGTCATGTATTCGAAAAAGTGAAAATTTCTTTGCATATAACAAATTCCACGGGACGGGCATAAAATCCGTTATATTGTTTTATCGATATAGCGGTATTTTATAAGTTTGTCAATAGTCAAAAACAAGAAATCGATCAAGATTCGTTGCTTTCTTTTGTAGAACCGTTAACGAAACCCTTGTCCGTTTTTTTCCCTCATAATGTTGTTAAATGTTATTAATACACAAGGAAAAATATTTGATAACTTGATCTTTATTACACTGACAGATATTGATTATTTTAAAGAAGAATTTAAAGGCATAATCCCTTTTATTTAAGAAATTTGGATATTTTTTATAACCCAGAATTTCAGGGTCTGTCTTTTAAACAATTTCCACAAAATATTTGTTGATCATGCACTCTTTCTTTTCCTGTTAAAACTGATGCCTTTCGAGGATTTTTAACCTCAATGGCATTGTATTCAAGTAAAAATTTCTTTTTTTCCTCTGCAAAATATCCCCAACCAACAATAGTCCCTTTTTCTTGTTCTTTCATAGCCACGCGGGTCATTTTGGGGATTTCGTTATTGTTACTATGGATTATAACGGATTCAACCACTTTAGTGTTAGTAAGAATCTATTACCAATTATAACGGGTTCAGCCACTTTATGAACTATAGCGGACTCCGTTATAATTGTTATATTGATTGAACAAGGCTCCGTTCATCGAAAAAAATCCGGAACCGCATTACAACGATTTAGTAGTAAAATCCGCTAGATTTAATTAGTAAAAACTCTGGTTCCAAGAAGAAGAAAAAATACGTACTAAGCGAAACCCGTTATATCGGTGAACCGTTATATTGACTTTTACTGTGTATATATTTTTGGGGAGAATCATTTCATCGACAATCATTTCACCGACAAATATTTACCAACATTATTTCGAAGTTATCCTTTTTTAGTAGTTAATTGTCGGTGAAATGTACTGTCGGTGAAATGATTGTCGATGAAATAATACGGACCCATATTTTTGTCACAACATTTTTTTCCCTACATTCAAAGAAAAGAAAACATAAAAACCAGTTCAAATCTTTTCCGGGCTTGTCTATTTTTTCCCCCTTCTATTAAATTTTTTTCAGCATATCTTATCTTCTAGTACTACTATTTCTCTCTCTCTCTAAAAAAACTCAGAATGCCTGCCTTTATTCCCTGATCGCTTACATTGCCCAACAAACGATAGAATCAGTAAATGAATATACGATACAGCTTACTATCGCTTACCCCAAGATCTTATACAAATAATACAATTCAGTTACTTCGTCCCCAGGGAATAAGAAATGGAAGATTCTAAAGAAAGTGAATCTTCAACTGGTGATGCATTACAGTTGGAAATGGTTTACTTTTACATAGGAAATTTACTTATTTAATCACGATAATGGCTCCCCCGACATGATAGTTATTGCTCATGTAAATTGCCTATCGAAATAGCTGCTTCTCCCTTAATTCCACGATTTATAGGCAAGACTTAATTCTCCTTTCGTGACAGCAATGGAACTTTTGTACCAGAGAGGCAATATAATGTTGGGTTGATGAAGAAAAGTAACCATAAAGATGACAAAAGCGAAAATAAAAAAAAAATAAAAACTTCATAATAGTGATAATATTACAGTATTAATATTTGACTCTTTGGAAGCCTTTTATGTTAAACTTAATTACCTTTTTTTGTTTCATCATAAGTGATGTTAATGCCCGCTTATTGATTTTTATTGTAAATTTCATGAGTAATTTTTTCTCCTTGTTTTGTTTTTTTTTTTAAAAAATACTTCTGATTGTGCCGTAAATCCTTATATTAAGCATATTAATATGGTAATTTAAGTAAAAGTTTGTCTCGATAAAGTTAAATTATATTAAATTCTGGCATGATATGGTTTTAAAAATTTAACTTACATAAACTTTTGTATAGGTTATATCTTATTTATAAACATTCACTTTGTTGCAGCATGCCTCATATCACAGATTAAAAATTCAATACTCATATATGAATATAATCTTAAAAGTTATTTTAACGCTTCTTGATTTGCATGCAACATAATTAGGTAATTAATTAGGTTAATCAATTAAACTTTAAACTTAGTAAGCTTATTATCGTTAAGCTTTAATGTATCACAAACAATATCAATACTAGCAGCGTTCCTAAGATCAAATATCTTAATTGAATTAATCAGTATAAAAAAAAAGGGTTCTTTCTCGGAAAATATTTGATGCCTCTAATCAAGTTCTCCATTTAAACTAGAGAACGAGGACAAACCACTGATCTAGGCTGAAAATTTCAGTGGACACGTGAGTATTAGAGCCTCACGAATCAGGTTACTCCAGCTAGATCTGAAGACCTATGTATCACATAACATTGCGAAGGAGCTCTATTATATTGGAAGATTTTCTTTATTTGGCTGGCTAGTTGAAATCGTTTACAATCAATAACTGTCATTGGGGAAACAATGATATGCATCGACTTTGATTCGTAGAACAGTGATATTGTCAATATTCACAGAATCGGTTATAAACAAGAACTATCGTGCGTCTGAACTTATTAGGTCAATATTTGTGATCAATTTACATATTGTAATATAACCTTAATCTAACCTTAATCTAACCTGCAGCAGCACACAATACGAATACTATTCCCATTCTAACTGCTGCCCGAACTGTCTCCTCTTATACATCGTTGCAGTTATTGTCACATAGGACATGGTAAGAAGAAGATACGATAGTTCGATTTTATCATATCCTTTCTTATTCGATCGCTGAAGCGAATGCCACCCTTTGTACTTATCCGCTGTAGGACTATGGTAAGAAGAAGATACGATAGTTCGACTTTATCATATCCTTTCTTATTCGATCGCTGAAGCGAATGCCACCCTTTGTACTTATCCGCTGTAGGGCTTTAGAAGTACCAGACACAGGTTTCGGTAACCGTTAATAAGACCCTTGGAGGTTATAACCAGGAGGTTGTGGATGATATTGGATAGAGGAGATTCAGATAAAGAAATCTGTGCGATATCACTATTGATGTCTATAAGAGTAAGTTTGGTAGCAGAAGTAATGCAAGAAATTTTGAGCGCGAGAAAACTAGACTAAGACGTTTATCATGGAAAACTTACATACGATTCAAGTTTATATCATCATGGATTTCCATCAGGATATGGAGAGCTAACAAACTCATAAAACTGACCATAGTCAACATCGGTGTCGGCTGTCGGATCGAGGCTAGGATTATTCAAATATGGATGCAGTATACGATTGGGTGGCAATAACTGTTGATCTACTGTTGTGGAAGATGACGACGTTCGTTCATAATGGGTAACACAGATTTTCGGCACATCACTGCTCTGTACATCACTCTGCAAATCTAATAACGTTCCTCCATATGGGGGTGGAGCGGGTGGAGCGGGTGGAGCGGGTGGAGCGGGTGGAGCGGTATGTGCGCGTTTACAATGTCGTTGTTTCTTAGCTACCTTGGACGGTTCTGTTTCTGAGCGGGAGATTGGCCTTTTGTTCGGACGCAGAGAATCTGACTTGATAGGTTCAACGGATGTTCCAGCGCCTACCTCGACGGAATCACCAACGGCGACATCGGAATTACGAGAGAGGTGCTGGGCAACCAATTGTTTTAGATCTGACCGCATTATCTCTTTCGTTGGACTTTCATATTCAGCGCACACGTACTTCAAAATATTTTTGATATGATCGATGCGTTTATAAAGAGGGTCTAATGGATCGTTTTCGAGTATGGAGAATAGTGTGGCTACTTGGAAGACTTGTTCGATTTCACGACGACGCCCTAGATTGATGAATGCTTTCAAAAAGTCTCCCCCTATTTGATTTAGCTTATGCTCGTTTGCAGTGATTTCCTCAGTAGCACTGCTCGATTCAGATGTGTCAATTCTACTCATCCCTGAATTTTTGTTGATAGAAATCAGCAGCAAGCAGCACGTCCTTTTTAATATTCGATACCGCATCATCCCAGTCCAAATTGGTCAAAATATTTCCAATTTGAGAGCAGGACAACTGATTAGATTTAGGAGATATATTTAATCAGTTACATTTTGTGTGATCCCATCAATTGATCCTTATAAAGTCGATATAACCTATTCCAAAGCCTTTCCGTCTTTCCTTTCCTCCTTACAGAAAGATATACTGCTTTTTTCGTTAAGCCCAAAGAATATTCATGGGCTTTCTTTGAACAAAGCGTTCCGTGTGGAACATCCATTCTAGGACAAGCGTACCCCTTTTTGGTGCTGCCATATTTAGTGGTAGGTAGTTTGCAAAATCTGGCAATAGATTGGATTTACCTCCCCGAGTGCTAAGCTATATTCCTTACCAAATTTAGTAACGAAACGTTACCAAATCTGGTACTGATTAGAACACCCTATATCATAATAGGCTTGCGTCTTATGCCTGGCCCATTTTGAGCTAGTCAATAATGATACTTCCCAAATGCAGTAGGGGAAGTAGCCAAATTTAGTAATTCGAAGCGTTACCATATCTGATAGGGGAGGTAACTGAGTTGATTTCCCCCTTTTTGGACTATTGATTTTCCCAATCAGGTTTAGCGTCATTTATTTGATCAGGTGTCCGACTTTACCTAATACTAATTGAGACTTAGCGTTCACTAATTAATAAGAATGCAGTTAGACGAAAAAGAAATTACTTCACTCTATTCTGAAAGTAGTTCTTGATAAGGGTCCACTCTGTATAACATGCATAACTTTATTTATTTGTTTATTTATGTAATAAGCTACAAACTAGCATGGAGGCAAGATAAAGTATCCATAAGGGAACAGTAACTTTTTAAATTCGGAAATAATCCCTCTTCATGTAGACTCTATGTTAACTGTAGCAAAAAGAGTTGCGTAAAGGAACCCATCCAAATTTAGTGACAATCGGCATACTAACGAGCGATCT